TTTTAAACTGATTGGAAATTTTTTGGCTTTCAAGAGCTACAAAAACAATATTCTTTAAACAGCCAAAAAAACATTAGATAGAGAACTTGTGCCACCACTCATCACAGCTTGAAGTCTCTCATATTACAATGAGAAAAGTCTCAAAAATCCAATACATGGTGCATTACATTAATTGGTAAACATAAAGATAAAAAACACATTTAAATTTTACTACGGTTATCGCAAGTAATAGAATGTTCTCTTATTCCAAAACAGTGAGCCAGAAACGTTATTAGATAGAGCCACTCGACTATTTGAATTCTTGTAAATCCCAGGAAACAAACTGAATATTATTTTTATGCATTAAATATTCCCTAGTTCATCGAAAATTTTCATCTTTACTTATTCACACTTTAAATTAGAGATCAGCAATAAAGGAAACGACGACTAATGACAGAAATGTGTTCCTTCAAAAGTTGCAGTACCAGATTGGTGGCTTTTAATCAAACAACGGTTTTTAGAACTAAGCTTAGCTTAGCAAATTCAACATACGAAATACAACTATCTGATGCATTCAACGAATGCCTCAAAAATGACGAACAAACGAAAGTTAGAATAATGGCGAAGCTGAAAAAATTCCAAAATATGATACAAATGATAAGTTACATGAAGACTTTACAATATGTTAAGTAAAAAAAAGCTAAAAACCATCACATAAATTTATATGACAGTTGTTGAACTAACTGGTTTTTTAAAATTTTACTATATCACTTCAAAAATCAGCATTTATCACATTTATTTAATAGCGCTGCCGATTGTCTACACGTCGTAGTCACACAGCACTTTGAAATATAGGATGAGTCACTTCAAACTGCCTTACCTCCTTGTACAGCATCTCTAGAAGTATACACCAAGATACAAATCTATTTAAAGAAATAACTTCAATCAAACTTGATTGAAAACAAAAAATTACGTCTTACTTTATTTTAGAGAAGCTCTATACCATACAGATCACTATCTGTCAGGCGATGTTCATCAATAAATCGTACGCAAGGTTCATTAAACTACTTATTTCTCACCTTTCCATTCATTAATTGGCTTATCCACAAGATCTGTATTAGGATCGTATCTGTTTTCTGGCAAAGGTGTATCCCACTCATCAGTACGAAACCACATAGAAATGTACGGATGTTGTACTGCTTCAGCAATGCTGATTCGATTATCAGGATCAATTTGTAACATTTTGCACAACAAATCTCTCGCGTTTGCTGCTAAAAAAGAACTACTTCAAATCCAATCAATGCGCCAAAAATTAAAATTAATTTTGTCATATTACAGATCGAACATAAGACAAAAAATCACCATTTAAAGCAGGCACTTCAGGTCTTTCTTCAGTAAAAAGACTATCTGGGAATAACTCTTCCATCTTCTTTGCAGGCATAGATCCTTTGCTTTCAACGAACATCCTTGCGTGACGATCTAGTCTGCATTTACAAAATTTGAAAATATCACATTAAATCTTTCATTGATATAAAAAAACTTTTTTTTCAATGCTTTCGCCATTAGTTAGGAGAAAAAAATTAAGAAAAGTAACAACCTTTCAATAAATTCCTTATTTGGAGTTCCAAGCAATTCAATAATTTTTATCCACTGATTGAAACGATCAGAACCGGGGAAAAGAATTTTGCCAGTTACCATTTCAGCCAAAATGCAACCAATGGACCAAACATCAACTGCAAAAGTAGTTTCAGTTGACTCCAAGTACTCAATGTTTCGTTTTTGTGAAAAGGAGGAAATTACCAAATTTGGTGCATTATTAAAAAAAGTAAAGGCAAGAAAAAAAAGCAATTATAATAGAGACAATGAAAAAAGAAACCTTTTTCTGTGTACGGTAAGCCAAGGATGACCTCAGGAGCTCGATAGTGTCTTGTGACAACATACATTGACATCCTTTCATTTGTTTCGATTTTCCTAGCTAAGCCGTAATCCAAGATTTTTAGCACACAATTCTGACTGACAACAATGTTGCTTGGTTTAAGATCCTGCAAAGAAAATTACTAAAGCAATCTGTCAGATCCTCGCAAAAATGATCATTTAAAAATTGGAAAAACTCAACAACTTTAACAGCATGGTTAAATTCAAAAATCCTTCCAAAGTTTGCTTTTATTTGTTAAAAACCCTTTTAGGCTCGGTACAAAAGTTTGCTGACAAAAACAAACAAACCCTATGAATAATTCCACTTCGATGCATGTAGTTCATTGCAACAACCATTTGGTAGGTGAAAAAGGAAAGGTTGGTGTGATTAATCTTCATAATTCTGATTAACTGATACAAATTGTAATCCATAAGTTCCATAACCAAATAAATTTCTTCAAAAGTCTCTAGAGACTTTTGTGGTGTAAACGCAAAGTCTAGCTGAATCAACTGCAATAAACATCAAATCAATCGAATGTTTCTGCAAGTCGCAGTAAAATTTGTAGCAAATGAGAAAAATGTAAAAAAAAAGAAAAAAAATTTAACTACGAAGAGCAATATTCTCACCAGGTATTATTGTACTTCTACCTTTCAGATATTTAGTTAATTCATATGCCCAAAAAACAAAGGTATTCTGGTACATACAGCAGTAGGGTAAAAAAATTACCACAATTTTTTATCAAAAGTGAAAAGAATCTAACAGTGCGGTTTTCTTTTTAAACTTTTGTTTCAAAAAACTTCATATTCTAAAAAGACAATTGTTCAGTCAAACTTAATAAATTTATAAAAACTAAAAAATTGATACAATCAACACAACTTTAAAAAATCCCAAGAAAAACTGAACACTTCCAGATTCAATAATGAAATAAATGTAAAATTTTTTTGAGACGTTAATACTTCTATTTCATGATGAAAAATGCAAAACGTTACGTGTATTGACGACAAAAAAAATTTTTTTTACGATGTACAAGTCTAACAGAGACTGATTTTTCATGCAAGATAGATTTATACATTCAACTTGCAGATCCATATTGATTCCGTCTATAAAGGAAGACATAAGTTTCAGAATACGGCAGAAATACAACAAAATACGACAAGCTCTGCTAAACTATCAAAAAATCAGTTTCCAGGCCAGTAAAAATGGGTTGAGATTTTTTAATAATCAGCTCTCATATCGCCCCCCAAATCTGACTCCTTTCCAAAGCTTCATAAATTTCATGCAGTACTCCTGAGTAAGAAATAAATAGACATAACAGCGCTTGAATGTTGCTTATTAAAAGTTTAACTTCAGCTTAATTTGCCAGCTAGAAGCATGATAGACAACCAATCTGTTTTTCACAAGGGATCAAAGCATTAAGTACAATGAAATATGCCTTGCTCCAATTAAACCCCTTAATGGTACTAACGAAAAGCCGGAAAGATATTGCCTTCTTTTTCTTCCTCACACTTTCGTTTCGTCAGGATAAATGTCGCTTGTAGGGACCAGTCACCTTCTCATCTTAGAAACTTTCCGTATTATCGACAATCTCTAATTATTGTTACGAGACGTCTCAAATCAGGCTTGATATCATTCTTAGTACCTTTAGTATTTTACAATTCATACATTCACCTCAGAAACTCGCTTTTCAATTGAACGACATAATCATCAAGCTAATAAATTCATTGAACGGCAAACCCCTACATCTTTTATATCTCTTCAAACCTTTTACAAGTTGTACAGAAGTGTAAACACTTTAGAAACTTGTGCTATCAAGAAAAAAATAATGTGAAAAACAACAGGTTTTTGACATACAAATAAAAGAATTATAGAGAATAGCTTTGATTACCGACTGCTAAGTGAATCTAATAAATCAAAGAATATATCAGCTAGCAGATAATAATTAAAGTATTAATAGTTCGTAACGTTACTGTACAACTTTTTTAGCACCATTAAGAATCGATTAAAAACGTAAATATCTTTTTTTCACGTCATGACAGATCTACTAAGCAGCCTTACAACTAAGTCTATAAAGTGTTTTTTTTTTAAAGGTGTAACGCTTATCATTTTCTTCTTGACCACTGCTCTATCAAAGCGATCAAAAAGTTTACTTACATTAACGTGATGCATTGTTGCTAACAACACAAATTCTCGGTAAGTTCGTTTAGCATTCATTGGCGTTATAAACGGGTTGTGCACCTTCTTTATTGCAACATTCTTCTGCGTAACAGTATCATAAGCTTTCCTGAAAAACAACCTTGCACTTATCTGTATGTAAATTAATTTGTTTATTCTCAAGATATCCCCTGATTACATTAAAAAATGACCTTAAACTGTAATTTTTCTAAAGCAGAGATAAAGTTATCATCACACATACACAACGGTTCCTTGAGCACCAGCGCTTAGAAAGGAGAGTCGAGTGTAACGGTGAGGGACAACAAAACTGCTGGGACCCGAATGACCGTTAACAACAACTTCGTGAAAAAACTTCGGGTCAAAAGACATTCCCTGCAAAATGATCAAAATAATCCGTATTCAAAAAATAATGCACAAAATTACATTTATAAGGTACATTTAAGAATACCTCAAAAAGTTACGTATTTTTAATAATCACCAAAATCGTTAATTATTCAAACGAGGCAAGAAAGAATAAGTAAATCAGGGTGAGAAATAAATAATATTTTGATCATTTTTCTAAAATTTCAATAACAAAGTTTATATTTTTGTAATAGTTTTTGAAATTGATAAGAAGTATCAGTGCAAAACAAAGAAATTCTTCTGTAATGAGGAAAAAACTGACGATTTTTAAATAATGAAAATGCCTGCAAAAAATCTTTTCTTTTTTTTTTTTACAAAAGCAAAGCACTATCACTTTGTACCTTGTCTCTGTCTATTTACTTACGTACTCCTTCACAGAAGCTCAGTGTTAAAAAACCTCAAAAACAGCTGCGCAAAATCGCAGTTCCTCAGAATTTAATTTTCATCTATTGTAAAGACAAAAAACTAAAAAGAATAAATAGAGTTTTACTTCAACGGAAATAAATCGCTGTTCCGTCTAAAACAACACTGGAAAATACTAATTTTCTCTGAAATCATTCGTCTTTACGTCGAATCACTTGTCAAAATCCAGCACATGTTGAAACTACTTTTAAAAATCAGCTCAATAGTCCAGTCTTTAAATGCTTTCCATCTTCAAAACTTTAGAGCATTACATAAGTTTGAAGAAAACAGAGGTAATGTTTCAGAAGATGAAAAAAAATTTTTTCAGTCAACAAGTAATATTCATGCAGAACTTCTATCTTCTTCCTCTTCTCTCTCTCCAATGCCACATTTTGACATTCACTAATTCTAATTTGTAAATGACAGAACGAAGAATACTCATAATCAAAACTACGGAACAAAAAAAACCGCCATTCACCTCCTCTCTCCCCGCCAATACTTTCTCATTCTTTTATCCCACTCGCAGTTCTTTTATCATTTAATAGACTACAGGGAGGAAAAACAAACTTAAAAAAAATATGGTATATGTTTCACTCCAAATTCATGCTATAAAGTACGTTTGTAATTGTAGAGCATATTATTCAGTAGGTAACACAGTTTATAAAAAAAAACAGGAAAAGCAGAAAGCTTAGAAGTGCACGAAGAAATATTGAAGAATAAAAAAAAAAAATAAGTAAAAAAACTTCCTTCTATTTTAAAGTATTCAGCCATCTTCTAGCCCATCAGCAAAACTTAAGTAGCAAATTGCAACAGTAAGTTTTCAATCAGAAAATTGCCCACATTTCCCAAATTCTCAGGTAGCCTGTAGATTACCAACAATTTGATGTATTCAAAAAAGTTTTTTTTTTTTGGCACTGCTCTGTCTTCTTGCTGAATTTTCGGCTATTTCACAAATATTTTGAAACAAAGCTAAATTTTTTTAAACAGTGGCCTAGCTCAATGATTCTCAAATGAAATGACAAAGAATGCAGAAGATACAGAGAGAAATGCAATGAAAATTTTCGGGATTTTTGAGAGACGATGCCCGGGAACCAAGTAAGTGATGAGGCCTTCCATGACAACTGCACAGGTCAAAATGTCTCTGAAAAATTGCCCCAGTTTCATCATTTAGTGAAATTGAAACGTGACAACCAGCTTAAAGCCAGTAACTTGGTAGAGAAGCCGAAACAAAATTATTTTCTTAAAAACGGCGGTAGACCAAAGATGGCTAACTAATGCTAATCTAACGCTACTGGCCACCTAGTAACTTAAAAGTTTAAAAGAAAAAATCACTGTACTTTCCAGCAGCTTACAAAGAAACCTTATATAAAAGTTGAAGAATAACAACGGTTGAACAGCATGCTTTGTGTACAACTGAAGTAACCTATAAATGTCACAGTAGTTATACCTAAAACGTCTTAATTTTGATTACTAGTCGTCGATACTGTTTGTATACCACAATTAAGAAATAAATGAACAGTAAAACAGGGGTCTGTTTTTTTTTTTTTTTT